GCTCTGGTACAAGGAAGGGGAGGGCTGGAGAATACAAGACCACTATCTGGGAATGCCTCTCTTTGGCCAGAGAATTCCCATGAAGTCTGTTGGAGTTTGTTTCTTAGCTGAGTCTGGACTCTCCTGTTTCACGGGGGAAAAGGTTCAGAGAAGCTGCGGAGCCCTCCACTTCTCCCTCCAGTTGTCCGAGAACTCTTGATTGCTCTAGAACGCGTCCTGAAGGCTGGGGGGCCGGAGACACAGCAGGTCCCTAGGAGCCTCTGCTACTTGAAGCTACTGAAGGCCACCCTTTCTGCCTTTGGGACCTGCGGTGTCTAAGCAGCAGGGAATGAACTGCCTTTCATAAAAACTTTTTTCTTCTTATCCAACTGCTTAACTGGCAATTTCCTTTCCTTTTCCTCCCCCCCTCCCCCAACACGTTTAGTTTTGAACAATAATTGTAAGAAGGGAAAACCTCCCCATCTATTTCCTATCACTTCGAGGCACACACTCACTATGTTTCACAGATCGTATTTACACTCAGAGGTTTTCCACCCAACCTGGCAAAACTTTTTTTTTTTTTTTAATCTAGACTTTTCTAACTTGGGTTGTGCAATCATTTGTACATGGTATGTGTGGGAAGGTCATTCAGGGTCAGGGGAAGAGAGGAGCAGGTTGGGGGGGAGTGGGATGTGAGATGCTCTGGGGTCCTGGGCATTCTTACCCTGTGCACACTGAATGATCCTCCTCGGGAACTGGAGAGGAGCGTGACCTGCACTGGTCTTGCTCTTGGCCACCCTCATGGCGTGGACTGAAGAGGTCCTGCATAATCTCTTTGGGGATCTGTGAACTCCCTTCTGCTGTGAATCAGAGACTGTCTCAGGGAACGATCCATCTCTACACTTGGGTTCTGACAAGCTGAGGACCTTTGGCATCACTTTCCACAAACAATTCTCACACGATTGGAAGTATTCTTTGTTCCTAGTTAGGAATTCAGGACTATTATTGCCTCCGCGTCTTCTTCCCTCATTTTGTTTACCGTCTCGTTTTTATCCATATCTTAGTTAATCTGTGCAGTATTTAAAAGTGATCGTTGTCATTGCTTCAGTATATATTTTACAATATGGACTTACAAATTTGGAAACTGCCTTCTTTCCTTTTCTCATATTTCCAAATTAGTGAATTTTTGAAAAAGACCTATAACATCTTGTGAGGGAGAGGTAGAATTTATTATTCCCAATTAATCTAGAGAAAATTGTCACACAGAGCAGAGAGGGGCTATCACGGAACCCCCGGAGTCAAGAAAGGGGCAGTCACCATTCCCGATCTGAATGTCAGTGTTCTCTGTGGGTCCCCTTTCCCAGTGACTTCAGTGACATTCATCCAATGTTGTGTTGGAGGCTTTACCTGTGTGGAAAGGCCAGAGTCAGGGCCAAAACCTGACAGGCCCTTCCACACTGTCCCAAACGCTAGGCTGGGGATTACTCAGCTGAGCTTGAAACATTCTAACTGAACCTTGAGTAATTCTGTCTCTTCTGGTCACAGATCTCCCTGAAGGAGGCATTATAACTGCTATCAAACCATCAGCCTCTTCCTCTGGAAGGAGCCACCCTCCTGCTGTCCCGCTGTCCGTGGTAGGTCCATGAGCTCCTGGGGTTCATCCGATAGGGAACTGACTAGCAGAAGGAACTCAGGTTGGCCCGAGTGGAGCTTATGGGATTATCATCCTGAGTCAGACGCTGAAGAATGAGCTACACAGAGGACAGACATGCTGCTGCCTCTGAGTGGAGACGGGCAGCAGGTGGCAGCAGCTGAAGTTGAGGCACCTTATTCCAGAACATGAAAATATCTGCCAACCTGTCTTCACTCATTATAGGGTCAAAGAGTTTCTGGTTCCTACTAAACATAAGGAGTCAGGATTTTGTTTTGTCTTCTGTGAGAAAACTGGTCTCCAGAGTGTCTACTGCACACCGAAACTCTCACCAAGTAACTGCCAGGCACTTAGGGGGGGCAGTGGGACCACCCACCCGCCCTTCTCCCCAGTCTTCCTGCTGCTGGAGGAATCTCTCACCGCGTGGCACCACTTGGCAGGCTCCAGGCCTGGCCGCCAGCTGCACAGTCCTCATGATACCCCTGGAGGTAGGTAGGTGGTAAATGCCATCTCTAGTTTGTAGACAGAAAACTGAGGTATGGAGAGGTTAAGGGACAACAGCAACACAGCTACTAAATGGCAGAAATAGAAAGAAAATCCCAGTCCCTTGAAAACTGTGACTCTTCCTTCCAAAACAGGCTCCCCTTTTTGTTGGGAAGACTAAGAGGGAAAACAGCAACTTGTGCGGGGGCAGAGCAGGTACAGGCAGTGAAGCAGGATGCTACTTCATCGGAGGAAAGACACTCAGTCACACACACACTTACATTCTAGCCAGAAAAGGAAACGAGCAGCTTTTCCTTAGAGCTCTACAACTAGTTCCAAATAGCACCAGCAGTTTCACTTAGAAAAAGACACAGCTTTTCTTTTCTTTTCTTCTTTTTGGTCTTCAGTCATAGTTAAGATAGACATCTTTTTCTGGTACTGGCTGGGGGCAGTGGCCCACGCCTATAACCCCAGTGGCTCAGGAGGCTGAGGCAGGAGGATTGCAAGTTCAAAGCCAGCCTCAGCAACTTAGCGAGGCCCTAAGCAAATTAGTGAGATACTGTCTCTAAATAAAATACAAAAAAAAAAAAAAAAAAAAAGAGTTGGAAATGTGGCTCTGTGGTTAAGCACCCCTGGGTTCAATCCCCAATACCAACCAACAAAAAAACACCCCCCAAACAAAAACAAAAACAACTTCCACTAACATGGAAACAAAGGAAGAAAAACTACAGGAGCAAAAGGGCAGTCTTTGCAGTCAAGGATGCACCCTCTGGTTCTCAGACCTGAGATACTTCCTGGATACTTCCCTCCCCATATGTGGCAAGGTCTGTGCTGGAATAATGTCACTTGCAAGGGGTAAGGTTCAAGCAGTAGCCAGAAAGTCACATGTCTGTAAGATAACCACTATTCAATTGTGTATTGCCTGATACATTCCTCCACTGGAAGTTTGTCGCTTGAGTTTCCTAGGTAAAATATATTTTAGGCTTTCTCTCTCTCTCTCTCTTTCTTTTTTTACACACAAGACAGTTTATTTGTCAGAGCTGAAAAAATAAAGGCACATCCCTCCATCGCAGAGAGAGGCCTGGGTTTTCTCTTTCAAATGCAAATTTCCAAGGACTAATTATCAAGCAATTCATCTTAGAATGAATTTGATTTTTAGTCCATTTGGCTTTAGAAAGAGACACAAGAAATGGGAATATTGCTTGTCATGGGAGGAGTACTGTGGGAGAAGGCTTGCTTTGGAAAGGCATATCTAGGATAAAAATGTCAAGGAGGGTGGTCATTAGACGGCAAGACAAGGTCTTCCATATGGGCAGGGAGAAAGGCAGGCTTTTTAAAGTACTTCCTTTCGGCCCTCCCGTGGCCTCCTGCCAGCTCCCTGCTGGTTTCTACACCTACGACGCCTTGGTTGGCACTGAAGTCCGTGAGGCTTGGTTTTGGTTTACACAGACCACCTTAGTTACCACTTCTCTCTCCGCTCTGGAAATCGACAGACCCCAGGTAAAACTGCCTCCAGTGCGAGACAGGAATTCCCTAGAGGACTTCCCCTGACTGGGTTCTGGTTTGAGGTGGGCTGGTTGTGGGGAAACAGGGCAGGAGAACTACAAGATTCCTCTCGCTTCCTTTTGCCTCTGTCGTTTCAGGGTAAAGCTTGGCTGGGGACTGGACGCACCCACCTGGTAAGAGGTCCCCCTGTTGCTACTCTGATGGCTCCTTGGGTACTTGTCTTGTGCTAGGCAAGACCTGAGAGCTGATCTTGTGAGGACAGGCCTGCGAGTAGGTGTCCTCCAGCTCAGAACTGGCCCTCCTCTTTGCGCCTTATGAAAAAGGTGTAGATTTTAGGCTAAGAACTGATGTTAGGAGAGGAAAATTAAAAACAAAACAAAACAAAAAGTGTTGCTTCAGGCAACAAAACTGTGAACAGACCTCAAAGCCTAAAGCCTTTCCATTTCTCGGGGAGCAATTTCAGCTTCTTGCTCCTTCTCTGATGGCGTTCAGGGCCAAATTCCTTCTTTCAGAACCTAGGGGCTCCAGTGATCCAAAGGAATGGTATGAATGCAGGGCATCTCCTGGACTGGTGACTCACACTAACACTCCCACGTGCTGAAATGACATTTGGAAGCTACAAAAAGGAGTTGAGACCGTAAATAATGAGACCGATTCCACAGGAAAGCTGGGCTGACTAATGTATGCTGGCGTTGCAAATTGGTGCCCTTGCAGGCTAAATTCGGTTTGCACACATTTCATCTGACCCATATGTTGTGTCTACAATTTAGTTGCCAATGTTAAAATTTTTGGAAACTTCAATTACAAGTTTGAATTTCTGGCTTCTCTTGGGAAATCAGACGACCAGGTGACACTGCAAGGCGATGATTACCTGGAACTGACCCGCGGCTGCCCCTGCTCTTCAACTTTCACAGCCCCGCCTCTCTGCCCGGCAGGAGCGCAGGCCCTACTTCCCAGTTCAGATCCCATCTCTGATGTAGGGGCACACGGCTGGTGTCGGGGAGGTGCTGCGCTGATAAAGTCTGGCTGAGTTAGCTTGAGACAGGACTGAGCAGAGGCTATGCTATCACCACAGTTCTGACTGGAAGGGTTTCCATGGAGAAATGAGGAGCAAAGTGAAGTCCCCCGCGGCCGCTGGGGTATAGGACAGGACAGTCAAGAGACTGGGAACTTGGCTGTCAAGGAGTCCATCTTGGTAAGTTCTCGTGTACGGGAGAGGCTGTTTTCTAGCTGTAGAGCATGCACTGCTCCAAGATGGCTGCATCTGTCCCACCAGGGACAGCGGTGACCAGAGGAGACAGAAGACTCAAAGGATGTGGGCACCTTTTTGTCTCACCGTGCCCTGTGTTAGCTGGGGAGGGTGTCCGTCTTGGGCCTCACCTCATATGGTCAGGTCATCTGACCGGGCCCGGCTGCTGCCTTTGCTCAGCCGGCTCAGGGGCCGGGCCTCGTCAGCGGTCAGCTCCGGACACAGGGAAGGCGCCTTCTCTGCCGACAGCCCCGGCTTGGTCATCTTCTCAGCCGGCAGCTCTTCTGGGCCACCCTCCTTTCCCACTCCCGGGCTCTCTACTCTGTCCCCGTCTGGCACGGCCACTGCGTCCTGCCCTTCCAGGGTGGCCCTCTGGCCCTCTCGCGGCTTCTCCCCGACTTGCGGCTCTGCTCCCTCCTCCACGGGCGGCTCCTCCCCGGCGCCCTCCTGGGCGCCCACCTGCGCGTAGGAGGGCAGCGTCTCTGGGTAGCCCCGGGCCAGGTCCGCCAGCGGCCCCGCGCCCATCTTCTCCTCAAACTGACCGAAAGGCTGGGCCGAAAGGGGACTGGTCTCCACCACGCCGACCTCGGCCAAGGGGAAGTAGTGGGACACGATCTTCTCTTCCTCCAGGAGCTGGTAGCCCTTGGCTTTCTGGATGGAGGAGACGGCGATGGAGTGCAGGGACTTCTCGGGCATCTCGGCCAGCGGCGGCTCCGCCGGCCTCCCGAGGGCCGAGCGGATGCCCTTGAGGCCCAGGTGGCTCATCTCCACGATGTTGAGGAAGAGGGACACGGAGGCCACAGACAGCATGAACAGGATGAAGATGGTCTTCTCGGTGGGCCTGGACACGAAGCAGTCCACCACGTTGGGGCAGGGCCAGCGGCTGCAGCGGTAGAGCGGCAGGATGCGGAAGCCGTAGAGGAAGTAGTGGCCCACCACGAAGCCCACCTCGAAGAGCGTCTTGAAGACGATGTGGCAGAGGTAGGTCCGCAGCAGCGTGCCCTCCAGCCGGAACTTCTTGGCGCCCTGGCCGCTGCCGCCCTTGCGCACGCTGCCCTGCTCGGCGCGCTCGGCCTCGGCCGGCGGCCCCGCGGCCTCGCGCTCCCGGCGCTTCTCCTGCACGCGCACGTGGTGCACGGCGTGGCCCACGTACATGAGCGACGGCGTGGACACGAAGATGATCTGCAGCACCCACAGGCGGATGTGCGAGATGGGGAAGGCCTCGTCGTAGCACACGTTCTCGCAGCCCGGCTGCTGCGTGTTGCACACGAAGTCCGACTGCTCGTCGCCCCACACGAACTCGGCGGCCGTGCCCAGGATGAGGATGCGGAAGATGAAGAGCACCGTGAGCCAGACGCGCCCGATGACGGTCGAGTGCTCGTTGACCTCCTCCAGGATGTTGCCCAGGAAGCTCCAGTCGCCCATGCTGGCCACCTGCGGGGAAGGCAAAGGCTGAGCCCCCGGGCCACTCGGCCGCGCCCTCCGAGCGGCTGCAGCAGCCCGGGCCCCGGGACCGCAGGCTTCCTTTGCGCTCACAGGCACGCGGGGACCACAGGGCGACAGAACCTGCTCCCATCCTGCTGCAGGCCTCCCTGCACCCCCGGACAAAAGGAGCATCAGCTCCGTCTGAAAATGGGCTTTAAGCTCTACATAATACGTTTTCATTCATTTCACAGATATTCTGAAAGGATCCAAGAGGCAATATCTATGTAATTCCTTGGATTGCACCCCAAAATAAGGATTTACTGTGGGCCATAAATAGAGACCCACGGTCAGATGGATTTAAACAAGATCATGTATCCACGGAAGGTTCGTGAGACATAACACTGAAAACAATACCCCATGGGTGTCTGGGTCCCCGACAAAATGTGTATGAAGTTATCTACAGGCACCTTTCTTCTCACTGCGTGGGAATTTATAATAATCATATGTTTGAAGGGAAATGGGTAGAACTAACATTTGTCAAACACCTTCTGTGGGACAGGCCTTTGGCGTTATATCATTTAATTGATCCTGCTAATCTCCATGATGACAGGGGCCGTGTTTTAGTACTTACTCCTGGCTAGTCAATGCCTGGCCTACGTGCTAGCACATAGAGCTTGGTAAGTGCCTTCTAACTGATTCCATTCCCACACGTGGGAAAACACAGGATCTGAGAGGCTAAACAGATTGTTTAAGATCATCAGCTAAACACTAGTCGTTTGTGCCTGATCCCCAAAGCTGGGTTCTTTTCACTACACCACTGAGAAATACTGCTTGCCATCAGAGCTACACAGTTCTCTGGCTTCTGTGCTCTTAATTTATGTTTTCTCTTCTAGAGGTTGAAATCTGAAAAGCCTTCTTAATAGCTTTACAAATTGAGGGCAGTATATTTTTATTATTACTCTTTTAAATCCAAAGAACAGAAAGAGTGCTTTGGGAAGGAGTCATGTTACAGGTTGAGACAGGCCCACTGGAACACTTTTAATATCCCACAGAGGGAAAAGGTTTCAGGGTCTGTAACATATGCTTATTTTTTTCCTTTTTTTAAAAATTGGTGCACTATAGTTGTACATAATGGTGGGATTTGTTGTTACATATTTGTGCATGCACACAACATAAAAGTATAATGTGGCCAATACCATTTCCCAGCATATGGTTGTGTTAATAGAGCTAAAATTTTGGTCTATAGAAAAGAATCCTTTTAAACATGATCTTCCCGCCATGCCCCACCACATAGGATAAGGAGCACATGGAACTAAAGGGGTATGCCCACTGCTTTTACTGATAGTGATATTTGTTAAACACTTGAAAGAGTGGTAAAAAATGGCATCTTAAATGAGGAATGATTTTCAACTTTAGTGATGGATAAGCAAAGTGGCATCTTAAAGCCTCCTTCCACCCTGTCATTCGGAGCTTGGACAGACAGTACCTGGTGATAGCACACTGGCTGCAGGAATAGGCAATGCCCAGCCTGTGTTCTTATGGTCTGCACATCTGTCTACTTTCTTTGGAGATCAGGGGGCATTACTCCTTTCAGAGTCCCAGAAATTCCCAATTAGATGAGGTATTCTATAGTAGTTCTCTCCTGAAAAGATCAGGGCAGCTGTGGCATGAATTGGCACTGGGAAGAATTCCTTGTAGGCGTGTGGAATGGAGAGTAGGAGGTCTTCAGAACCAGCAGCATAGAATCCCAGCCACAGGTACCTGCTTTTAATTCACTCGTGCTATAGTTAAGTCTGGTGTTTGCTCTGTAAACTGTCAGCTCTTCCCTGAAAATCCAGAAAACAGGTGGGAAACCTCACAATTGGGTAAGCAGTCCCAGAGTGAAGCCCACTGGTGACAGCTGGGAAAACGTCCATTTCTTATCCAACAGTTCAATCTAAAACTTATGTTAAAACACTAATCGTCATAATTTCTCCTGTAAGGTCAAATCTGGTTTTAATGTGTTCTAAATCTAATGCTTTACTATTGGTATCTTATTTAAACGTCAGTCTGGTCAGCCTTACCTGCATTGGACCACATTGGTTGTTTGGGTTTCTATGAGTATTTAACATATGCTCTCAGAGGTGTGTGGTGAGTACATGCTCTCAAGACGTGGTCCGTCAGTCTTGTTCCCTCACTCAGGATCAGAAAGTCTTGGGTGGCTAGAATCATTTTGGCTCCCTCCTCCATGAACCGTCACAACACAGAACAAAGCACTTTACAATGTGGGAGTTCCATAGACACCAGCATATAGAACTGATGGTGATCATTAAAAATTATTTTTTAGTTGTAAATATTTTTTTTTAATTTTTATGTGGTGCTGAAGATCGAACCCAGTGCCTCACCTGTGTGAGGCAAGTGCTCTACCACTGAGCTACAGCCCCAGCCTGATGATCATCATTTTGAGATCTGAAATTCTAGCTGGGCATGGTGGTGCATGCCTATAATCTCAGCAATTTGGAGGCTGAAATAGGAGGATTGCAAGTTCAAGTCCAGCCTGGGAAATTTAGCAAGATAATAAATAAAAATGTCTGGGGATGTAGTACCGTGGTAGAGTGCCCCTGGGTTCTATCCCTGTTACAAACAAACAGATCCAAAGTTCTCTATGTGAGTGCATGCAATACCAGTACTACCAACGTCCAGGGAATTCCAGTCCTCTTCCTTTATCAGCGTAATCATAGTAAGAACTTGCAAGGCAGTGGTGAGTACCAAGAAGGATAGTAAATCTATCTCTAACCAGCTATTTTGAAACAAAAAAGGCTGATTTTGTATGAGATAAAAAATATAAACTGGGTGCTTCTTGTCTTCTGAATTTTATATGTTCATGACACAAGAACCACGACACTAGTAATTTCCACTACCACCCCCCGCCTTTTTTTTTTTTTTTTTTTTTTTTTTTACTACTCCTAACCACTATACTAGTAATTTCCACAGTAAAACCAAACAAAGCTGTGTGCTTTATCCTGCTCTGCTAGGATTGTTCGAGTGGCGTTTTTTTGTTTTTTTCCCCCAGTACTAGGGATTGAATGAACCCAGGGCACTCAACATCTGAACCACATTCCCATCCCTAGCCCTTTTCATTTTTATTTTTTAATTTTGAGACAGGGTCTCACTAAGTTGCTCAGGCTCTTGCTGAGGCTGGCTTTGAATTTGGCAATCCCCCTGCCTCAGCATCCCAAGCCGCTGGGATTTTAGGCATGTGCCACCGTGCCTGGCTCTTGTTGTTCTGTGTCTAGTTATCTGTATTAATTGAAGAAGAGAAACTAGCTTAAGACAAAATCTTTCCACTTGAAAGGTGAGTTAAACATGCCTACTGTACCGTTAAGGAGAGACTTTAGAGGAGCCAAGGGAAGTGCCTTCCAACAATGAAAACTTAAAGTCAGATCAGAGTAGCCAGATATTCCCCTGGAGCAGGGAAAAATCTAAATCAAGGAAGAATTTTCCATTCTCTCTCTGTTTTATTTTGCTTGTGAAAATTTAGTGAACAAATCAATACAAATGGAAAATAAGTGGGGTTCAAGTCTCCAACCCCAGGGCCTCCATGTATCTGTAGGAACATCCTACTAGATAATTATGGCTTGAAGGAATGATTAAAATAGTGCTTTATGTTGGAGTATCCCTTAGTCCTTGAAGTATACACTTTCATATATCTTATTTCATTTCCTGTTACAAACTATGAACCAGGCCGGTGACTCTCAGATTTGGATCTCACAGACTTCTATAACAACATCAACACCACCAAAACAGGGTGACCACATAAGGTTGCCAGCTTTTCACTTTGCCAAACAAGGACATAAAAAAATTAAAACAAATCTTATTAAATGATCATGACCCTAAGTACATGTATAAATACACGAATGGTGTGTGTGTACATTGTATACAGAGAGATGAAACAATGTGCTCTCTATGTGTAATATGAACTGTAATGCATTCTGCTGTCATATATAACAAATTAGAATACAAAATAAAATTTAATAAAAAATGACTAATGATTATGGTCTGTTTTCACTGTCATTTCACAAAAGGGGGTTTTAATACTTAAATATGTTAAGTTAAATGTCTCAAGTTAAATTAAGTCAATATGTCCTGGAACACTTAGAAAGGACATAATTTCAGAACAAAAGACGGGCCTTTAAATTGGACATATTCTACTACATTGTTTATTTTATCATTGTCTTATTTTCGACACAGGCTTCTGGAAACTTCATCTTGGGCTAGAAGTGAAATCCACAGAGGGATGTTTGGGAACCAGGAACGAGGCGTTAACAACCCCCGGAGCCAGAGAGGGACAGATGGGGAGTTTTAATAAGTCTCCCAATCTGGCTTCCTAGAGGGGTAGAGCCAGAATGTGAGCCCTGGTCTTCCCACTCCAAGCCAGGGTGATTTCCAGCAGGGCGTAGCCTTATCCTAGCTTTAAGAGGCACAAAATCGATGAACACCCATGTTACCAAGTTCCTGAAGAGTTAGCGGTCCACTTACACTCCAGTTGGTAATGGGGTATAAATGTGCCTCCATTCTTGTTTTTAGAGGGCCACTAACCGGCCGCTCCTAGACAGACGACAGAACCTGCTCCCAGGAAGATGTTGATGCTCACCAGATCTGTCCTGAGCTTCATTAAATGCTTCAGCATCAAACCCTGAGCTGGAGGCCTCCCCTGCGCCCATGGCCCTCAACCACTGTGACTTATTCCCATCACGGAGTTTGGGTGGAAAAAGGGAAGACGTTCGTAAACTATTACTTGGCTTAGGTTTCTCTGGATTCCCAGAGACACGTTGGTCATTCTGAAAAACGACAGGACCTTAAGAAGCCAGGCTGCCGTGGTGTCCACCTCCTATTCCTCCCGCCCGTCTACTCCAGCGCTCTCTGTCCTCCCTCTACCAACCTGGGACCCACTTCGAGGTTTTCAGAGGTGGACTCAGAGCCTAGCTGTCCAGGCCCGAGAGGGAGCCCCAGAGGTAGCC